ATATTTACTTAATGTGTCTACTTACGATTTCGAAATTGTTGTATTTCGTTTGGAGTGTTATTAAAATCTTCCATTTTTTAAGGAGGTTCTACAGGTACTCTCTAGTCAGTTGAGAGATGAAGAGAAAATCTTCAAATTCATCGATTCTAAGTATGCATAAAATATTTTCGTGAATTTTGATGACGTTAGAGCTTATATCATACCCATATTAGTCGAAGCGAGGAATAATTAAAAATATCGTGTAAGTGCTCCTTTGATTCTGGCGGCTTATACATGGAAGAAAATGTGGTAACGTCGGGAACTTGACTGTTCTGCTTATATGACCGTGGTTATTTCACAATTTCACATAATTCTAGAGCGAGTACTTCTCTGTAAGCGCTAGTAAAGGTTAGGTGCTTAAGTTTGAGGTGCTGTCATACTGTGGTGCTGTACTGGCTGTACATTTTTCGCGTGGGTGCAGTCGCTGCGACGTTGCCAAATCTCCCTTGTTATTCGAAGCACGCTACGTGAACTGTGATATGGCCTGTTTCAATAGTCAATATCACAAAATTTTACGCGATAACCCTTGTTTTTCTCGACATTTCTGAAAAGCTTAGATTAAGATTTATAAGAGCTCCGTTTTTTTAATCTCTGGTAGGTCGCTTTTATATAATTGTTCGAGATTCCGTTAACGTTGCGCCGTCCGATCAGATGGCAGCATCGATCGGGTAGCGACGCTAGATCACCGCGGCAGCTTGCGCACGCACGGGCTCGCTCATCGCCAACGTCTTCCTCGCGATATTCAGAGTCGTACAAATGGCCGCGCAGTGATTAGACGCACGACGTGTGCTCTGTGCATTTTTGATTGTGACTACACATTGAAGTGCCCACCGCAGTGATTACAGCTGCCGAGATACTGCATTAACATGTAAAGCGACCGCTCATCCAGCTCTACTCGGGTACATCAACACGACGATTCAGGCTCACATGTGCGCGAGTGCCGACCGCCACGTGTCTTACCGGCTCACGGGCTAATCATCACGAGGAGGACAATTAATATAATTGCCTCGCCCACTCACGAACGATATACAAAGACTTTTTATACAAAGACTTCTTATGTTTAGTGAACTCCGAAAGACTGCCCACCACTCTCAGGTCAGACTGTATATATCTATTTTCGTATTAAAGACGGCTCAGACTGTGTTCTGAGTTACATTTTATATTACAGAATAATTAATTAACACCTTCCACGCGCGTCCTTCTCATCCCGCTTCCATCGCCAGGATTAATCAGCGATTTCGCGAACATTTGGTCCTTCGAGCCGGATGCGTGGAACTTAAAGTGTAGCTCGGACACAGATCATGTGAACAGGGCATGCCTTTCACGACATGCCACGTGGACATTATCGCGCGCTTCCGCGAGTGAAGTACAGACATTCTCACGCGCGCTTGCGAGTGTTACACAAACATGTTCACGCGCTCCCGCGAGTGTAAATAGACATTTTCACGTGCTCAATACATGACCCTAACGACTCTCGATTCGCATTGTGTTTTTCTCACGCGTCTCTCGAACGTTCTCGGTTCGTGCAGCATTTCTTACACGTGTCTCGACATTTCTCAGGTATTTCATCGTGCGCAGCTCAGGGACGGCTCAACATGACGGAACCCGCAAAGGCGGGTACGGGCGGTACGGAGACCACGACGCCGCTGCTCGAGGTACCACCGGCTTGCACATCGGAACGCCAAGCCTCACCCGTGCGCTTGTCCACGGAGCTCATCCTAAATGAACCAACTGGCGACGGTGCGGAATACTGGCGAGACGCCACTATCTTGGGCAAAGAACACGTCATTAGAGAAAATTTTCTACATCTCAATGCATCTCGAGAAGGTGCATACAGCGTTTCTCAAGGAGCACGCATATTTTGAAATTACTTGGCCGGCGGCGCTCATACAACATGAATGCTTAAAAACAATGTTCACTCCACGACGGCGCGATTACATAGCTGCACATCGCGTTATTGCATTATCAAGGGCGCATATCCAAACCAGCGCAGTCCTCGCATGACAATCAGCGGCTGCCGGACATCAACATCCCGTCGTTCAAGGGCAATTACGCTGCATGGCCCACGTATCGCGACCTATTCAAGGCCGTTATCTACGACAACTGACGCCTCACCGACGTGGAAAACCTTCATTATCTGCAACTCTCACTTGAAGGCACACCCGCTTAGCTCATCTCCGGACACAACGTCCGCTCATGTAAAGGCTCACGGGGGTGCAAGAAGTGCACCAAACGACATCACACGATGCTGCATGAGGCTCATCAGTCGAACTCATTAGCGAAGCCAACCATCAGCTCAACTGCGACAGCTCAATAGGAAAATGGTGCAATCGTTGCTCACTTCTCGTTGGCCCGCTCATCACACTCAACATTACTCGCTACGGCCCTGGCTCAGATCCGCTCATCAGTTAATACTCAGCGGGTACGGCTTCTCATCGATTCAGGTTACATTTGTTTCAGAATCACTCATTCGTCAGCTCAACATTCCTCGTCATCATTCTGTCATTCTCATTACCGGAATTGGTGGCGGAAAGTCCACGCAAACTCGAGGAGTTGCATTCCTCAAGCTCCGCTCACTTCGCTCAAGATCAGACGTCATTATTCAAGCTCACATTCTGCTGACGTTAACAAACATCCTGCCATCATTCAACGCTGCACCCCAGGAATGGCCGCATCTCACCAAGTTAGCTGATCCAGATTTTCTGACACCACGGCCAGTGGATATTATCATTGGAGCTGATTCATATGGGCAGATCATCAAGCCCAACATCATCAAACGAGATACATTGATGCCAATTGCGTAGCTCTCAATTTTCGGATGGCTCGTTCTCGGACCTGTCGACACATCATCATCGGCATCTGCTGCAGTGCATCATGTATCGATTCAGGAGAGGGAAGATGCTCTCGACGAGTTACTGTCGAGATTTTGGACACAGGAAGAAGTGCCTGCGAGCAACAATCTTGAGCTTACTCCTGACGAGCAAAGATGTGAAGAACATTTCAAGAGTACTGTTTCACGGGATTCAACAGGTCGATACACAGTTCGACTTCCACTAAAATCATCACCTGACACTCTTGGCGATTCGTATCTCACTGCGCATCGATGTTTGCAAAGTTTACAAAGAAGACTCTCCCGAGATGACAACTATCGACGTCTGTATCATCAATTTATGACAGAATATCGAGATCTCAATCACATGAAGAAAGCTTCACCCGTTTCCAGTCAGCACACGCAATATTATTTGCCACATCACGGAGTGCTCAAACCAGACAGTGCAACCACGAAATTACGTGTGGTATTCAATGGCTCGAGCGCATCTACATCTGGCCGCTCACTTAATGATATCATGCACACGGGAGCCAAGTTGCATTTAGACGTCACCGATGTCTTGCTTTGGATTCGACAATTTCGACACCTAGTTGCCACGGACATCACCAAGAAGTATAGACAGATCAACGTGCATGAAGATGACTGGAACTTACAACGGATTCTATGGATCGACGAACTGCTCAATGAAGTGGCATATTATCTAACCACGGTCACGTATGGTACCAAGGCTGTCCCGTTCTTGGCAGTACGAACGCTGCTGCAACTGGTGGAGGACAAAGGCCATAATTTTCCCCTTGCAGTGCCGTCCATCCTTCAAGGTCGATACGTCGACGACAGCTTTGGAGGCGCTGACACTGTTCAACAGCTAATTAAAATTGCATTGCAGCTAAAGAACTTGTGCATGGCGGGCGGTTTTCCATTGGCCAAGTGGTACGCGACTCATCCAGACGTGCTCACTGCGGTTCAAGCAGAAGAAGACCAGGGCTCACAAATTACATTTGACGATTGCGTAACCAAAATTCTCGGATTACAATGGCTTCCTCAAGAAGATTCATTCGCATTCTCAACAAGGATCTCGTCGCATACCGATCATCTCACTAAACGCCTCGTTTTGTCTGAAGTGGCTCAGATATTCGATCCACTAGGCTTTGCATCACCAGTCGTGATCAAGGCGAAGATGCTCTTACAGAAGCTTTGGCTTCATAAACTCCAATGGGATGAACCACTGCCATCCCAGCTCTCATCACGGTGGCTTATCATCAGAAAGGAACTCACCAGCATGCGCAAGATCACAATACCTCGGTGGTATAACACATGGAGTACATCGTCAGTGGAATTTCACGGCTTTTCTGATGCTTCTCAACTGGCAATAGCTGCAGTCGTATTTATCACCGCCCACGGCTCTAATGGCGCCACGATTTCATTGGTGTGCTCCAAAACAAAGGTAGCACCACTCAAGCGGCTCACCATTCCGAGACTTGAACTCACCGCAGCACTGCTGCTCTCAAGACTCATGCAATACGTTCAAGCCACATTGAAGTTGACCGTTACAGCAACTCACCTGTGGACGGACTCTGTTGTGACACTCACGTGGATCAAATCTCATGCATCGCGCTGGAAGGATTTTGTGAGAAATCGAGTTTCTCAAATTCAAGAGCTCACTGCGAACGCACATTGGAAATACGTACCAGGTACGTCCAACCCAGCCGACTGCGCATCACGAGGATTAAGTACTGCTCAACTCCAAAGCCACTCATTATGTTGGACGGGACCACCGTGGATACTCACCCCTGAAGCATGGCCATCACAACCCGCGCTTTCAGACGAGTTGAGCGCGCATGAGGCTCGTCCTGGCATTGCGCTACATGCGGCCACATCTCAACTGGACTATCACTGGGACCTGATATATAGGTACTCAACTCTCAATAAATTATTGAAAATAACAGCTCTTTGTTTCAGATTCATATTGCTTCTGAGAAAGCGCCGATACAAGCCACTGGACTTGCACTCAGCTTTGGAGGAGGCCAGATTATTCTGGATCAAGGCTATTCAAGCGGCATACTTCACGCACGAGATCAAGATGCTCACGGCCAACTCGAGACTACCAACTGCTCACGCATTCAGTCAATTGACTGCGTATATAGACGCTCAAGGGATCATCCGAGTTGGCGGCCGCTTAACCAATCAGCACTAGCTCAAGACAACAAACATCAGGCGATTTTGCCTCGCCACTCACGGTTCTCAACCTTGATCATTGCACACGCCCATCTGCGTACCCTGCATGGAGGAACACAGCTGACATTGGCTCATGTCATGCAACAATACTGGATCATCGGCGGACGGGCTCCGGTGAAGTCTCATATTTTACGGTGTGTCGTGTGTGCTCGGCAGAGGGGGATCCGTGCTCATCAACTGATGGGTCAACTACCTTTCTCTCGGGTTACGCCGTCACGTCCGTTTACTCATACAGGAGTTGACTATGCCGGACCGCTCACCATCAAAACATGGAAAAGACGAGGTGCGAAAACATACAAGGGATGGATTTGTGTGTTCGTCTGCTTCTCCACCTCCGCAATTCACCTTGAAGTAGTCAGTGACTACTCATCAGAAGGATTCATAGCAGCCTTCCGAGGATTCTCAGCCAGAAGGGGAATTGCTCAAACCATGTATTCGGACTGCGGGACAACATTCATTGGAGCAGACGCCGCGCTTAAGAAAATGTTCATCCAGAGTTCCCAAGAACATCAACGAATCGCTCAAATTCTACAATGTGATTGCACCAGATGGGAGTTCTACCCACCAGGCGCTCCACACATGGGGGGCAAGTGGGAGGCGGTGGTGAAATCCGTGAAGTTTCATCTGAGACGGACTATCGGGGAGACTCTACTCACGACGAAAAAACTCACAACGTTGCTTACGCAAATCGAGGCCATTCTCAACTCGCGGCCTTTAGAACCGTTGAGTGACGACCCTGAAGACGTCTCAGCGCTCACACTAGATCATTTCCTCATTGGAGGTCCAATCACTACCATACCCGAGCCATCTCTGATTGACCTAGCAACCTTACGACTATCTCGGTGGCAGCTCATCCAGCAGCGTGTTCAACATTTTTGGGCACAATGGTCGGCTCATTATCTGCAACGCCAGCAGGCGATATCCAAGTGGCATCATCCTAACAACAATATCAAGGTGGGTTCCATCGTGCTGCTCACCGACGAACGCTCTCCACCGTGCAAATGGCCACTCGCCAGAGTAACAGCTTTGCACCCCGGCAAAGACGGACTCACCAGGGTGGTTACCCTCAAGACGGCCACTACGACACTCACTCGGCCAAGTGCCAAGCTTGCCATATTACCCATTTCAACCGGATGAAGAATCAAGAGTAAGGAATCATCAACAAAGTTGCTGATGGCGGGCGGAATGTTCGAGATTCCGTTAACGTTGCGCCGTCCGATCAGATGGCAGCATCGATCGGGTAGCGACGCTAGATCACCGCGGCAGCTTGCGCACGCACGGGCGCGCTCATCGCCAACGTCTTCCTCGCGATATTCAGAGTCGTACAAATGGCCGCGCAGTGATTAGACGCACGACGTGTGCTCTGTGCATTTTTGATTGTGACTACACATTGAAGTGCCCACCGCAGTGATTACAGCTGCCGAGATACTGCATTAACATGTAAAGCGACCGCTCATCCAGCTCTACTCGGGTACATCAACACGACGACTCAGGCTCACATGTGCGCGAGTGCCGACCGCCACGTGTCTTACCGGCTCACGGGCTAATCATCACGAGGAGGGCAATTAATATAATTGCCTCGCCCACTCACGAACGATATACAAAGACTTCTTATACAAAGACTTCTTATGTTTAGTGAACTCCGAAAGACTGCCCACCACTCTCAGGTCAGACTGTATATATCTATTTTCGTATTAAAGACGGCTCAGACTGTGTTCTGAGTTACATTATATATTACAGAATAATTAATTAACACCTTCCACGCGCGTTCTTTTCATCCCGCTTCCATCGCCGGGATTAATCAGCGATTTCGCGAACAATAATTAATATCTCGTTTCCTGTCTCCAAGAGCCCCTCTGCCATAAGAACCCGTTAAAAACTGTGATTTCAAAATTTATTTTTGCAAATTTTTACACGATAACCGATGCTAAAATTTTTCGAGCACTTTTCTCGCATCTCAATTTATACGTCCATGAAGTTTTTTCCAATTTTTAGATACATCCATTATCTATAGAACCTCCTTAACTTGACGTTTGAAATTAAAATATATTTCAATATATTATTCTGTTTTACAATGAAGGTACCCCCGTAGGCCTCGGCGGGGAAACAGGTGAATCGTGGAAAGGGAGCAAAAGTGTGTCGAAAAAAGGATTTATAGAGGCGTGGGAACGTGGAAGAGAGATTGCAGGCGTGCGGAAGGTGGAAAGGAAGAAGAGCAATTGGAGGCGAAGCGGGATATGTTGCAGAATGGCAGATATTTGTTCAAGAAGAAGAGGCAGGCTTGAGAGGTTAGGAGCGTGGCGAACTGGGCGAGGAAGGATGTGGCACCGGAGGGCGGAGGCGAGAGAGGTGAAAGTTGACACGCGTCGTTGCAACGGGTGCGATGGAGTTGTGTCGGGATCGAGAAATCGACCAATAGAATCGCAAAAAGTCGGCGTGAAACAACGGGACCCCGACTGTGGGTGAGGCGGCGCGGGGGGGCTGGCCCCTCCAAAAGAGTGGGTTGGCGCCACTGCGGGGCGTCGAGGCGCAGTCCGGGGTTTGGTACCAACTGCACGGGGTAGATTGGTGAGATCGATTGTTGCGGAGACGATGAGGTCGATGCGCAATCAATCGAGATTGGAGAGCCGACCGTAACCACAGATTAATAGACAGATAGCCAATGGCCCCTCAAAAGTCGAGACCACCATTTCCGTGACTTGATTACCAACACACTTTGCCCCTTACCGACAGACTTTGCCCCTAGGATTGAGTCCGGACTAAATCACATTACAGACTTTGCCCCTGGTGCGAGTCCGGACTAAATATACCCGATTTTACCTACAGACTTTGCCCCTGGTGCGAATCCGGACTAATTTTGCAGTGATGCCAGATTTCAGTAGTGATGTCAGATGCTCGATGCTCGGTCAGCCGAGCCGGCGAGAATCGTGCTAGGTTCTTGTTAATATCTCGGCGCTCGCGCGCGCGCGCGCGCACCTAGGTCTTGTCGTACTTATTAATAATTACTTATGATATTTATTGTCTTTATATATATATATATATATATATATATATATATATATATGAAGCCGAGACCGAGGATTAATGAACAATTAATACTATTGTTATTATATAATAATAAAGAAAACTTATTTTGTAATTTGAAAATAATTTTTTATTTTTTTTATGAGCAAATCGTTAATTTTCCTAAAGTTGTTGGAAAATATGCAAATAATTTTAATGATTGTCAAATAATTTTCCTAGTTTATATTACTACCTAGTTAAATATAGTTTATATTTAGATAAAACAACAGCCAATACCGAACAGAATTCTAAATAATATAATAGTTTAATATTCCGTCAAAATAACTGGGAGTGTTTCGTGCTTTTAGAGACTTTTTCAATCAATCAAATACATCCCTCTAATTAACTGTAATACATTATCATAATAATCCCGTTACATAAAAAATCCGTCGAGAGATGAAATCAATTAAAAAAAAGTTTAACATCATAAGATTAACATTAATTAATAATTATAGCATTTTTATTATGAAATTTATCCTCTCTATTGATTTAAATCATAGCGGTCGTTTTTACTTTCTTAATATTAATAATTATAGTATACAAATTACATAGAGTTATTAAGAAGCCACATCAAGTTGAAAGCCCAAAAAACCGATTAACAAATAGTTGAAATGTATGCGTGGTCGAACTATACATTTAATTAGAGAGTTGTTAACAATTAAAACTTAAAAAATAATTATTTGTTTAATGGCGAGAAAAATCGTGTTAGAAGGCTGAAAAATGTGGAACAAACGGCCTTAATCATTGCGTGTCAACAAATTTTCCGAAGTCAAGCTATGTAATAGTCAAGTAGTAAAAAATCTATAAATTAAGTAAAAATCGAATTCTTTAAAACTGTGACATAAAAAAGTAGTAATTCTCAACAAAAAGTAGACTTATAAACTCGAATTAGCATCAGCTAAATTCTCAAATTAACGAAGGCTCCTATTCTTCAATTCCAAAAAGCGATTGAACGAGCAAGGACTCAGAAATTTGTCAGAAAAGGTTGGAATCGTGGTGATAAATAAAGCTAGAGAAAGTAAGTTATTAATTTAATAATTATTCCTGGTGTAAAAATTTGACTGAAAATATAATGAAATTCTACTATCAATTGACCCCTTCTTATTATTATTTCATAAATATCATTATGAAAATTTCAGTTTTCAGTTAATTTCAATTAATTTCAGTTAAATTCAATAACTTTCACGATATCTAATATTTTAACAAATTTTTAATTATTTTTCAACAGTATAATTTAATTTTTCTTATATTTTACAGTATTTACATTAAATTTCATAAAGAAAATTATGATTTATTTTGAAATATATTCAGTAATTTTTCAATAACTTTCATTTCATTTATCATCAATTTCATAGTACTTTCAGCAAAATATTTTCATCTGGGTCAATTGAGATAGAATTTCAGTAAAATTCCATTATATTCAGTAAAATATTTCCATTAGGGTAATAATAATAGTAATAGGACTCTAAGATTTAAAATCAATTTAATATAAAAACGCCATCAAGTCCGAGCTAGGATCTAAGTAGCAAATAATTTCCGTGTAAATTTCTAATACTATTTCCAACTAAACTGCGCGCCAACGAATTGTCGGTCTTGAAACACAGCTTCTTCGTTAGAACAGTAAATTCACTTAAATAAATCGCAAATCGATTTAATTTTCTATGCTGATACAAATCGTATACATCTTCCTTCCCCCGAATATTACTGTAAAGAATTTATTGCGAAATAGTATATTGTGCACCAAGGGGCAAAAGTAGCGTTTTTCGCAAAGCCTCTGGGGTGGGTGTGGGAAGCAAAGCCCCCCACATAAAAAAAATAAAATTTAAATAAAATTTAAAAAAATATATAAATAATTTTAATTTTAAAATGACAAAAAAATTTTCAAAAAATGTAAAA